GCTAGATCAGAATCACCTGAGAAGAAAGCCTGGCTTGAGGGATTTCCCAGATTGGATTGGCCTGTGGGCAGTTTGTGGGGGACTGTCTTCACTGTTACTTGATGTAAGAGGGCTCAGCCCATTGTGACATCCCTAGGCAGGGGGTCCTGAGGTATGTAAGAAAGCTGCTTGAGCTTGAGCCTGGTTCCTCCATGGGGTTCTTGCCCTGGCTTCCCTCAGTGATGGACTGTGGCCTAAGCCCAATAAACCCTTTCCTTCCCTAAGTTCTTTTTGGTCAAGTTGTTTTTCATAGCAACAGAAAGGAAGCTAGAAACAGTCCCTGAGACCAGATTTCTCAGTGATCCTTTTGAACCCGTTCCTCCCTCCTGCACACCTGGGCACACAAGGACACACCTCACAGCCCCTCTGTCAGTGTTGGTCTGTTCTCAGATGAGTGGGGTTGGAAAAATGAGACAGTGGCTCTTCATAACATCCATTTCCTTCTAGGCAGGCAAATTGTGCCTTCATTTCCATCATCCCTGCTTCATCTGTAATCAGCCAACAGGGCCCCTCAGCTGCAGGATTTCATCCTCAGTCTGTTACTCTCCTGGAGTTGGCACAGCACTGAACCCTTTCATTTCGAAATTCAGGAGCCTTGGGCAGAAGATTGTGATTTGGGAGAAGGGGAAAATTAAGAGTAGGATCTCTTGTTCTGAAGAGGGCTGGCACAGAAGGAAATTGCTTTGCTTCCTCTGTGTGTGAGCCTCTGAATGGGTGTGCTCCCATCACCCCATTCTCGTCTAGTGACCCCCCCCAAATTACACAATTTCAACCATTCACAGAACCCATTCTGTTGTGCATGGCTTGTGTGGTCACCCCCTCTATTGCCTACAGAAGTGTCTAAATCTTTCTTCTTCACAGCCAGGTTTCTGCTGGTGGGTGATTGGTGTTCCTGCTTCTGACTGTTAAAGCAGATTTCTAAGGTCTCTCCCTCACTCTTCCACCTCCAGCCCTTCCTCTCCCAGGGTTTGGGTGGGTGAGGCAGACTTTTATCTCTGCTTTCTATCTTAGTCTGGGCCTGAAAATTAAATTGACCTAAAAGGTTAATAGGAGAAAAATGACATGCATTTTACATGTATGTGGAAGCTACCACAACAAGTTTTAAAAACCTCTGAAAGAGCCAGGCATGGTGGCTCTTTGATGTAATGCTAACACTTGGGAGGCAGAGGCAGGGGAGCAGGAATTCAGAGTCATCCTTGGTAACATGGTGAGTTCTAGGCTCTTCTGGGGTGTTTGATACTCTGTCTCAAACAAAAGCAGTGCATATCAATTATCCCAGTGTTTGGGAGGCAGAGGCAGGTGGATCTCTCTGAGTTCCAGGTCAGGTGGGCTATGTAGTGAGATCCTTTATCAAAACAAAACCACAAACAATAACGAAAGTCCTTCAAAAGTGACAAAACCCGAATGCTTATTTATTGGCCTACTAGGGGTGGCAGTTTTGGGGAAATATCTAAAATGTTGGAGAAGATTAAAAGGAGGTAAGAACTATTTGAGCATTTGTGCACCTTTTTCTTTGTCTTGGTCTTTGCTCTCCTCTGAGTTTCCTCCCTCCTGCTCTAGGCTAGGCATCTTTTTCTCATCACGGCCTGGCCTCCCTAGTCTGCCTGTGATGCTGCTTTTCTCCTGGCAGTCAGGGCAGAGTGTCCTCTCTTGAGTCTGCTGATTTTCAAGTGCCTTTAGTTTACAAAGATCCTTCTGCCAAGTGGTGCATTTTTGAGTGCCATGTGCTGTCACCTTTCATTCATTTGCTAAATGCTTCTCTCACAGAATGAGGGCTGTATTCATTTTATACAAGTGTCTACAAGCCTTCCTGATGGACAGTTTCCCTTGGCAACCTCTTGCCTAGATCACAGGCAACGAATGACTCAACAGGCCTTTGAAAATTGTTGTTCATTGATCCCAAATGTTATTTTCTAATGCACATGATTCCTCTCCCCATTTTGTAGCACTGCTTTTGAGAGTGGTCACATTTCTTTAAGGAAATTCTTAATTGTCACTGTCCTGTTGGAGATGGGCTGGTGTGCTCCTCTCACCCATGTATGAATCATTGCAGGTGTTACAGATATCTGAAGTGTGATTGGTTTATAATCAGCTTCTTTGTCTTTAATTTATTTACTCCTTCTCTCTCTCTCTTTGTGTACATGTGTGTGTTTGTGGGGATGGGGGTGGTGTGTGTTTGATGTGTACCAATGTGTGTGTATAAGTGTGTGTCTACCAAGTATAGCATATTTTTAAAATATTTTATTATTATTTTATGTGTATGAGTGTATTGCCTGCATGTATGTGAGTGCACCCTGTTATGCCCAGATCTTGTGACCCCCAATGACCACCAAGGAGTCCAGAGTGTATGCAACAGCAAAGAGCCTTTATTCGGGCTTAAACTCGGGCCCTCAGATTTCACTGACCCAGTGTATCTGTACTGAGAGCCCCGATCTAGGGTGGGGTAGGCTTTTATAAGGAAGTTTCACAGAAGCCCGCACATGCCAAGCATCCTTTAAAAAGATTGGATGGTCCTATGCCCTGAGTACGAGGAGGAGTCTTATTGGTAGGGGCTGTCTTTAGGGCATTGGAATGTGCTGACTGTTATCTGTGGGGCCAGAAGTTTCTGTTTTTACCTTATAAGGCTGCTATATGCCTGGACTTGCTTGATCTATAGCTAGTCAAAATGGAGTTAGTGCCACCTTAAGCCAAGCAAATTACAGAAGCAGAAAGAAGCAGTTAGACGAGTCAGGGTCCCATGTGTTTTGCTGTGGAGGTCAGAAGAGGGTTTCAGATTACCCTGGAACTGGAGTTAAGGATGGTTTGTAGCCACCGTGTGGGTGCTGGGAATTGAACCTGGGTCCTCTGCAAGAGCAGTCAGTGCTCTTAACTGCTGAGCCATCTCTCCAGGCCCTCCAGTGGTAGCATATTATGCACAAAGGCCAGAGGAGGATATAAGGTGTCTTGCTTTACTATTCTCTACCTTACTCCCTTGAGACAGAGTATTTCTCTGTCTTGGAGCTAGACTGACAGCCAGCAAGCCCCAGGATCTTCTAGTCCCTGCCCCACTGGCCCACAGCTCTGGCATTTCCAGTTGGTATGTCATCACAGCTGGCTTTTTACATGGGTCCTGGAGATTGGAACTCAAGTTCTCATGCTTGCACAGCAAGTACACTTATCCAGTGACCTGTCTCCCCAGCTGCTGGCCTTTGATTTTTATTATTTATATGAAGTAGTTCCTGCCATTTCCTAAGATAGTCATTGGAAAGCTAAGTGATTACGTTGCTTCACACTTAGTAAGCAATCAATAAATGTTTATAGAGACAGTGAACAAATAGTGACCCTGTTGATTCAAGATTTGCTTCAAAGAAACTTTACAGTTGTAAGTAAAGATGCATCTTTTAGAAAATGAACATAGTCTGTACTGTCTGGAAACATAAGCCTCATACTATGAAACACTTTTCAAAAGATGTCAATTCCTCTCTCTCTATGCAGATTTTTTTTCTCACCCCATCCCAGTCCCCACTCTCCAGAGTAGGAAATCTCAATATTAATTGGAGCCAAGATGATTGTCCTGACTGCTGTTTCTAAGACTTTCACAGATCTCTGGCAGGCTAATGTCTCCGCATGGGGTCCACTCACTCTGGCTCTGTGTCACTGTTCTGTCTTGAGAATGTCCTGATTAATATGCTACATGAAAATAAAATAGGTTTGTAAAAATTATACCGTAGTCTCATAAATAAGAATTCACATTTGTATGGAATTGGATGTAATTTACAATACCCGTTTGGAGGTATCTTCAGTATGAAGGGAAGTTTAGTCTTAAAAGAGAAGAGCACCTTTTCTTAAAAGCACAGTGATGTTTATTAATCATTTGTTTGTTAATCCTGTACTCTACTAGCCTATGACATGGGTTGTGTGTTTGTGACAAAGGAGTTCTGTACCCCAGAGTTCTTTGTGTATTACCTGTAGTAGTGCCGTTTAATTGTTATGTAGAAGAGCCTCAAAACATGCCCAGCTCCTTCTGCTAGTGCAGCCTGTATTTCTGAGTGCCTTTCATGGAAGCTGATGGCTTTGGTTAAATATGAGACTAGGGTTGGAGTGAGCATAGTTACTTATAGTGAGGATCCAAGTTTGATCCTCAGAACACATATGGAAAATCGAAAATTATGGTGTTGTGTGCTTGTAATGCCAGACTTCAGTGGTGGAGATGGGAATCCCTAAGAGCTGGCTGGCTTAGCCAGCTGTATCACTTACTTTTCCTGCTGCTGTTACAAACACCATGACCAAGGCCACTTATAGAAGGAAGGGTTTGTTGAGCTTACATTTCCAGAGGAATGAGAGTCCCTCATGGTGGGGAAGCATGGCAGGAGACAGCTAGAGCAGAAAGCTGGGAGCTTGCATCTTTAAGTGGCTCAGAATGCAGAGAGAAGAAAAACGAAACTAGGGCAAGACTATGACCTCTCAAAGCCCATTCCCAGTGATATGCTTCCTCCAGCAAGGCTATACCTCCAAAATCTCCACATGCAGCACCACCAGGGGCCAAGTGTTGAAATGCTTGGAGCCTATGGGGGACATTCTCATTCAAATCCCCACACAAGCCTAGCCTTCTTGGCAAGCTCTGGGCTAATGAGAGACCCTGCCTCAAAAAACAAGGTGTGTGGGGCACTGGAGAGGTGGCTCAGCAGTTAAGAACAGTGACTGCTCTTAGAGAGGACCCGGGTTCAGTTTCCAGCATCTGCATGGCAGCTAACGACCATCTATAACTCCAGTTCCACAGGATCTGACACCCTCTCTGTCTCCTCAGGCACTGCACTCACGTGGTGTGCTTACAAAGGACCTGTTGGTGGTAGCATTAGAGATTCAGAACAATTGAGAGCTATTTCTGTGTCTACTCCCCCTTCCTGGTAACTCTGTACTTTGGGGTGATGTTAGATACTCATGTAAACACTACTTCCTTTTCCATCTGTTCCTTTCTGCAGAAAGATGTAGCACTTAAGCCTCAGGAACGTGTGGAGAAACGCCAGACTCCCCTGACCAAGAAGAAGAGGGAAGCTCTTACCAATGGCTTGTCCTTTCACTCAAAGAAGAGCCGACTCAGCCACCCACATCACTATGGCTCAGATCGAGAAAATGACCGTAACCTCTGCCAGCACCTCGGGAAGAGGAAGAAGGTTCCCAAGGGACTCAAACAGGTGAGCAAGCCTGGTTTTCCTTTTTTCCTGTGGCTTCCCTTCACTTCCTATAGCTGCAAGATTCTTTTCAGAAGGTGGAAATTTCCTTAGTAGGATGCTGGGGTGGCTGCTATGGAGAGCATTTGTTTACCTCTGTAGAGGAGTCCATACTCTGGGTATATTATCAACATTTGACACTCCAGTCTTGCATCTTTTCAAATGTGTGCTGTGCATTGGAATGGGATACAGGGCTGCTGGTACCAAGGGCTGGCTGCCTTGTTGAGATGGTCTATCTTGTGTATAAGAGGTCTTTACCATGAAGACAGATGGCACAGGGACGTCTGACCCTCTCCATTGCACACCTCAGGGTTGTGACTGGTCTGGGAGTTTGCATGTGAGATTTGTACTGGGGCGTGCAGAGAGCATTGAAATCTGCCTGCCTGCCTTGTTCTCCAAACCCTGGGAATCTGAATGGTCTTTGTGATCCACTGAGTGAGCAGAATCTGGCGATGGAGCTCTGTGGCCTGTTAATGAGGTTACAATGATCCAGGAGCAGATACAGCACTTGGCATCTGGGGAGCTTTTCTGCCTGCTTGTTGAAATCCCCATATGAGATGGGTTAATAATGAGAATCGAAGCTGTTCATAACAGTTTCTCTGCACATATCTACTTTTGTACAGAGCTACCCTGTGAAGAGTGTGTTTGTTTGTTTGTTTTTGGTAAGACAGTTGGGTGTGGCTGTGACTTGACAGAAGCAGAGGAAGAAGAGGTGGTTCACAGAGCAGGTGTTGTACAGGTGACATATTTTTTGCAGAGTGGAAAACTTGAGATCACACAAAGCAGTGGTTCCAAAAACCTCATGAAACATCAGAATCACATCACCTGCCTCAACTAGAGTCAAATTCCCAGTCTTTTCCCATGAGCTATGAAATCTGTAGTATGAGAAGTTGGAGGCTTGTTAATGGTCAGGCTTGTTTGGAGGTCCCTCATGTACAGTGCCAGGAGTATATTTTGGTTTGTGATTTTTTTTCATAGATTTTTGGGTTTCTTTTTATTTTATGTGTAAGTGTGTTTTACCTGCATATATGTATGTGCACCACATGTGTGCAATGCCCAAAGAGGCCAGAAGAGAGCCATGTGGGTGCTGGGAACTGAGCCTGGGTCTCTACAAGAGCAGCACATATTCCTAGCCCCTAAGCCAGCTCTGTAGCCAGTGGATGGTGATTTTTAGAAGATTGGAAGAATAAAAAGCCTCAAGAAGATGGAATGGGAAGTGTGATATGAGATAGAGAATGAAGGGCATGCCCGTGAAGTGAGGTGGAGTAATAGTTGTCAGCATATGCACAGAAGGTTCCATCATGGTGTCCTCATACAACCAACCTAAAGCACTGAACTCACTTGTGAGTAGGATTACTTACATTTCTCTGATGCTATATGGCCTGGTGCAATGTTGGTGTAAGTAACCAGGCTTCATAGGTAATTATATGCACTCTAGAGATGTGGAAACTTGGGCTTCAAGAGATGAAGAGGCTTTCCTGAGATCACTTTGCTGTGAGGCACAGAGCTGGGAATTAGATCAGATCTCTCTGGCCCCACAGTTTACTCTGTTTTCCACTAGATTGGGCATGCCTGGAAAAGATGCCTGGAGGGCATGGTCTGCAAGTATTTCTGGATGGTCAAACAGAGTAAAGTCCATCTTGGATGTGCCCTGTGAAGGAACCAGATAAAGCAGGATGAACTGACAAGTTCATAGCTTAGGTACAGAGTTGGGAAGCTTGAAAGTAACCAAGTTAGTCGAAGATCTTTTAGTTTTTTCTTTTAGATGGGGGCATGGAGTTGGGGAGAGGGAGGAAAGACTAGAGTCTATTCCTAACAGTGTTCCTAACTCTTGTGAGAAAAATATTTTGTCAGCAGTGGAGAGCAACTGTACCACCTTTGTCCCAGGGCTCCCTGTCCTCCCAGCTGGTATAGGGCGGCCACAGGCAAGAGACTAGCCAAGCAGACACTAAGTATCTGGTCTTCTGCTGCAAGAGTCTTCTCTAACTCAATTTCACTTTACTGTCTTAAAATTCTCTTTGTTACCAGGGTTTGAGGTCCTCCTGTGAAAGGGTTAATGATTGTAAAAGAAGACTGGGGCTGTGGGTCTGAGTTTGACTAGGTTTTGGTCTTAATGGTCAACCTCCTTGTACTAATGCTATTTGAAATCAAAGCTATCTTTGTTTGACCTTTGTAAAGCAATTACTTTGCAAATCACCGAGAAAGAATGAATCCTAGTTTTGGCTTAACTAAGGCCAAAGAAATAGCATCTTCTTGTGTCCTTCCTTCTCATCCAAATAGACTATTTTATCAATAATTCTGTTGATTGTAAGAGGGGAGCAGAATTGATAATAGAAGTAAGGTCGTGGTGTCTTTGACTGGCAACAATTCTAGAATCCCAGCCTGGTGCTACTCTTCTGGAAAATGTGGCTCTTGGAGGAGGATTCCCAGGTTCCTCCTTCTAAGCCTCATAGTTATTTAAATTCACAAATAATACACAGAATAGAGTGCCTCCGGGGTGTGTTGAGGAAGACCATAGTGAATCTAAAGGAAGCTTATTCTAGTTCTCTGGTCTATGAGTGAAGGATTTTTGAAGACATTTAAAGGAAGGGAGAATTGCCTGCAGGGACAAGGTGTGTGATCATCCTGTGTGATCATAAAACAGACACAACCTGTTTTAGACTTCTAGGAATAGGTGAGGGCTGGTTAGATGGTTCAGTGCATAAAGGCTCTTGCTGCCAGGGCTGATGACCCAAATTTGATCCCTAGGACCCACATGGTGGAAAGAGAGAACTAACCCCTGCAGGTTGTCCTCTGACCTGTACAGGAGAATGTGTGCACACATATAAGCACAATTTATTAATACAAATGTAATTTTTAAAAAACTAGAAAAGAATAGACAGGATTGCTTCTGTGTTGTATTAGACACCAATATACTTTGTGGTCACTTTTCTCCTGCTTTTGCATTTCAGCAGATGGAGTAACCGAATCTGACTCTCTTAGCTGGAAGGGAGCCTTGAAGTGAGGGTGAGCCTTGAGTAGCATTCCTGAATTAATGGGCTGTCCTTTGTGCCTCTGGTTGAGGGAGTTGCAGTCTGAAGATCTGCAGATGACAGTGGACATGGGTCGAGAGGGCTTGGTCTTTCTTTCTGACATGGGGAGAGTGAATTAACTTTGCATCTTATTAGATGGTACTTCCTGTGCAAGCAACTTAACGCACAGCTTTCCTGTAATTATGGAAGGCATTACTCCTTAGTAGAGAGGAAATAATAGGATTTCTTTTTTTTTTTAACCTGAGAATCTGTTGAAGGCAGCTAATCTTTTCACTCTGAGAGTGCAATTATATACTTTTAAGAGAGAGAGAGAGGAAAAAAAAATCAAATTGCTTTTCCTTCTCTTGTCTGGTTAATAAACTGGGGGTCTCATGATATGTTTTTATTCTGTCCAAAGAAAGCATTTTAATTGACACTTAGCTTATTTGCTGGATTATATTTGTAAGTATAAATACATACTGACCTAGAGCGATTGAGCAAGTGCTTTTGTAGATGGTTGCAGATTTGAACACTGTCTCTAGTTCCCAAAGAAAGGGGTGGGGGTTGATCTAATGAGCAAATTGCTGTGACACAACAGTACATGTCTCTGTGGCCTGCTAACTGTGAGCATTTTCTCCCTGGGGAAGAGGTGAACAACATCTAACCACTGCTAAGCCCATCTTCCTAATGACCTAACAAACAAACCAAAGTACAGTTCCACCAAAGTTCACCCTGGGGAACCAGGGAGTGTGTTAGGCTTAACTTATAGATGGGTGAGGGGTTATTTTCACAAGCATGGGGGACCACAAAGCAGCCAGACTGGAACATCTTCACCTAGTATGGTTGATGGCTTCCCCAATAGCTGTATAGATGGAGATCCCTTAGGTTATCCTTCCTTAATCTGTGTACTTCAGACCTTCTCAAGACCCTGAGGTCACATGCAGTTAGGGCAGAATTGGGTACAAGTGGCTGGGAAGAGTGGCTGGGGCCCCAGGTGAGGGTCTTATGGCTCTGCCCACTCCCCAGTCCTGGGAAGAATGGTCAGTAGTCCTCTGCCCCTCTTGTGATGGACTCTCACAAGTAGACACAGCTAAGCTTAGAAGATGGTGGCAGTTTGGCCCTGAGGATAGCACCTTACAACACCTGCCCAGGTTATATTTCTTCTCAGCCATTAAGTACCTTTGAGCTGACATTAGAGGTGTTAGCTGTGATTGAGGACCAATTGTGGATGCTTTTTACTCCCACTTGGGCTTGGAGATGTGTGAGGTGGAAACAAGATCTCTCCATAGGACCAACCTTCTCTAATCAAGAAACTGAGTCATTGTGAAGCCACCAGAGAACATAAGGAAGTTGTACCCAACCCTCCAGTCAAATCACAACTCCCCAAGGTCTGTTTTGGGAAAATGTGAGCCTTCCCACAGCATTGAGGAAAACAGGGTTTGTTTTTTTTTTCCATATAGCTAACTCCTAGACAATGGGGAGTGGTGCTTTAAAAAGTTAGTAATTTACAGTTTAAAAACACAGAGAAGGAGATTTTTAAAATAGCCATGAGAGAAGGAGTTGGGAGAATGCTCTGAGTTGGCTTCAGCTGGATTTCTAGATCTCTATTTAGTCTAGTAGTCTGTACTTTCCAGGATGAACTGAACCAGAACAAATAGGCTAAAGTGAGAGAGAGACCATCATTTGGTTATATGAGTCTGTGTGTGTGTGTGTGTGTGTATGCGTGTATGTATAAATGTGCCTGTGTGTGCATATGCATGTGTCTGTAGATTCATGAATACCTGTCTCCATTTCCCCAGTGCTGGCATTACAAGTACATACCACCATGTCCTGCTTTTTTACATGAACTCTGGGAGCTCAAAATCAAGTTGTCATGCTTGGGTGGCTAGCGCTTTGGAGTGACTTAGCCATTTCTCCAACCCATGTATTAACTCTACTCATGGACAGCAGGAT